GGCAAACGAATTTTATTGTGATTTTCATGCCACTAACACACACACACACACACACACTCACACACACACAGGGATTTTACCTGCAAATGCTGGTCTCATAGTGAAGTCATGATCATCAACACGCAGCAGATGGTCCGATTTCACCTGATGCGTCTTAGTTTCATCCAGCATCTTCTTGAAAAGTGGACTGCAAAAGAACATCTTCAGTGCCATCTCATACACACACAGACGTCTCATGAGCACAACTATTATTCACCACTCAATCTTCAAGTTTTGAGGCAAAAACGACCTATTTAACAGTAATAAAATAAAAATGTAGAATTAATTGCACTAAACGTTAAGTAGTATTTTTATATGCACACTAGTATATATTAGCAGTTTTAACCAAAATGTATTAGTATTTCCAATAAATAATAAAAGCACTCTGGGCATTTATTAATAGAAATATTATGATTTAGAATTTGAACATTCATGAACTCCATTCTTTTCAGTAAAATATTTGTTCCTGAAATGTGAAATGAGTCAACCAGCTTGCTGTTTCCACACTGAATTTCTCAGGTTCAGTTCTGAAAGTTATTTTTTATTTTTGTAGTCTTGACTGCAAAAAATAAATAGGCTAAATAAAATTTTTAAAAGACAGTAAACATAAACTGTACATAACCTTAAGTGGTTTGCAGTTAATTACAGTTGAACTGTGATCTGGTTTAGCTGTCACGTATAGTTTTCACAATGACAACCTTTTAACCCCTTAAACTGCATATTGAACTGCCTATTTTGGTAGTTTTCTGAGCAGAATTTAAACTATAAAGCAATTATGCAGAATTTAATTGATGAAAAAGCTAAATATATAAGGACACCATTACCATTATTTTGCCAGCGCAGACAGTAATTTGCCTCATGTATTTTTTAAGAAACGCACCATTTAAGAAAATGTATCAAAACTTACAAAACCACAAGCATTTTTATAATTAGACTTTTTATGCAAAGATATCTTTGTGACAACTATCCCAGCTCTCCATGGTGTCCCTATTTGCATATTAACTTCTGTTAAAACTGAAATAATAAGTTGAAAGCGTGTGACACTCACGTTCCGTGTTTGTGATGTTGTGCAGATGTTCCCCTGAGGTTGTGCTTCATCTTCCCGGAAACACTGGCGCACAGCAGAAGAAAAACAGCTTTTACAAAGCGACACATTGTGAAGGAAAGACTAGACAGTCATCCGCGCTGGAGAGCATCTCGTCTTCCAGTCAGCGTTCATTCCGAGTGAAGTGAGTGCTGCTGAACGCTGGAGCTGAACGCGCGCTCTGATTGGTCAAGCACATCGCGATTATTTACAACGATGCATCGAGTCATTTCAACGCTCCGCTCCGTACTTACTGTCAGACGCGTCGAGTCACGGAGAAGAACACGCAGGGGTGTCGAGACGCACGCGTTTTAAAATACAAACTATTTTAACCCGTTTAACCCCAACTTTTTCCCAGACATGAAAATATCCAAATGATGTGTCATTAGTAACCCTTTGAAATAATCAATTATTTTTTTAATTTGTTTTGGAAAAGTGTGTGAAAAATTGTTTTTTATGGTCGTGCCCGGTGGGATTTATGTGTATAGCCTACTGAATTAACATATTTCTGCAGTCATAAAAAAGTATTATATCTTAGCCCAGCTATTTTAAACTGTTTGATCACATTCTAGGGTTGCTATTATGCATAAGACCCTTATAAAACATTGACAGGAATACTGAGATAAAAGACAAAAAATACAAAAAAATACAACCATCAACATATTTCAAAATTTTTACTTTTTTTTGTAACATATATCATATAATTTAATCTGAATCTAATTCATTTAAATCTTTTAATGATCATCCGTGCTTAACTGTATACCCTGCAAAAAAAAAAAAAAAAAAATTTTAAGTATTTTCTTGTTTTCTAGTATACTGTAAATAAAGTAACATTCTTGAATCAAGATGCATTTACTTGACAAGTAAAATCACTTGTTTTCTAAAAAAAGAAAAAAAAAATCTAAATTTTGCTAGTTTTTGCTTAAAGGGGTCATATGATGCAATTTCATTTTTTCCTTTCTCTTTGGAGTGTTACAAGCTCTTGGTGCATAAAGAAGATCTGTAAAGTTGCAAAGACTAAAGTCTCAAATCCAAAGAGATTGCTAAGCTACAGCTAAAAGTGCTACCACCAGACACGGAGATCGGCTGAATGGATTCGAAAACGGTAAAACTCAACTGTTTAACTCTAGGGGAGTTGGAAAATGAGCCTATTTTCAAAAATAGTGGTGTTCCTTTAATATCTTCTAACACTTTACTTTGATGGGTCCACAACATACTGACTGTCAACTTATTCTACTAACCCTAAACCTAACCTAATAGTCTATTCTGAGAGTTAGTAGACATGTAGTTGCAAGGTTACTTATAGTTAGTATTATGTCTAAAGTGGACTTTCAAAATAAAGTGTAACCGAAAACAAGACAAACATAAGTACGAAAATGTTTTTTTGCAGATATCACAATCACAGATCACAATGCCCCACATTAAATGCCTTATATGTTGATATTATATGTAAATGATGTAGCACAATTTTACACAAACTTAAATCCGGCTAATTTATCCGGGGTAAATGCACAAACATAAAAATACTACATTCAGTTCTTGTGCCATAGTCTTTCTCTATGTTAGCATGCTCCCTAGATATGACTCGTCCACCCTTTAGTGTAAGTCTATAGGATTTTCCCCCCTGTTCAGCTAACAACCTGATAAGTTAAACATGTAACAACACTCCATGCCACACAATTTAGGGCACCGTTCATATCCATATCATAAATGCTGCAGGGACAAGTTGTATAACTTGTTTAATATTATTACTTCAATGCTACAAAGTGCTTCCTCTTCAAGTGAAAAGAGCAAACAGTTATGGTTGAATCAAGTTTATTGCATTATTTGTCCTTTTAAACATTAGGCTAGAGCAACTACGGGTTGTTGCTTAAAGAAGTAAAACAGATGTTTTTTTGGATGCGATTAATCGCGATTAATCGTTTGACCGCACTAATATATATATATATATATATATATATATATACCATCAACGCCTCACAGTGCCTGGTGGAGACACAAGGTTCTCCTGGTAAATGGATTTTAAACTGAAATTTAGAAATTCAACAGCTGGATGACACGAGTTTAGAGTAGGGCGGTATGAACAAAATTAACCAAGTAATTTCATATTAGGGCTGTCAAATCGATTAATCGCAATTAATCGGATCTAAAATAAAAGTTTGGGCTTACATAATATATGTGTGCATACTGTGAATATATGTATATTTAAATACACACACATACGTTTATATATTTAAGAAATATATTTAGTAAACAAAAACTCTTATTTTGGATGCGATTAATCGTTTTCGTTTGACCGCACTAATATATATATATATATATATATATATATATACTTGTAAAAAATTAAAACTTAAGAGTCTTAACTGGTTGAACGTTTTCTGAAAATTAGCAGATGATTCATTCACATACATCATTGCTCTATGTGCATATGTTTTTAACCGTTTAATAGTATTACAACCATGCCTACATTACAGCATTTTAAGAGCATGTAAATGTTTAATTCTGGGATAGACAAACACACAACAGAAGCAATTCAATTTCTACAGGTTTCAGTTTTTTAGTTTGTTTCAGTCCAAGACCAAATTTTGTACAATTTGCAACAATAGACTTTCTGAAATGCATTATTTGGGAAACCGTACACAAACAATACATCGCAGGATCTAAAAACAAACCACTCATAAACATGTCTTGGTCATATTTCACCCCAAAATGGAATTTAATTTTATGAATTATATTTTGCGTAAAGAAAGCAGGAACATTACGCCCAAATTCTTATTACACGCAAAACAATCTCATTACAGTAATGTGTCCAGATGAGCTGCTTTTAAAAAAAATAAAATCTTCTTAAATTAAAAGGCAGTACAATTACTACCATGATGCATAAATACTTCACAGTTAAAATAGTACATATACAGTATAATCACAGCATTAAGAACACATTACAGTAATAAGAATTTACTTTATGAGTGGAATAATTGCCATGAAACATTACAATGCAAACAAACAAACAAAAAATCTTAATGGTCCAAAAACAGACTTTACTGTCTTCTTGTGAAATATAATTTTGCATTTTGCATTTTTTGGGGTGAAATCAGACCATGGTGTGTTCTTGACAAGCGTACTGAGATTTGCCCCTCCAGGTTTTGTTCTGCGAATACATCCGGAAATCTTTTCCCCTTCTGAAGACACAAAGCTCTGTCCAGGAAGGACAAACATGAGACCGGGGGTGAGCTGGATCTGGACGAGGGCAGAACGACAGTGGTGCTTTTCAAGTGCTGTAGAAAGAGTTCACAGCTCGTAATCGAACTTATACTCATGGGCCAAATAGATCCTGCGGAAAATGAGCGCAGCTAGCGCGAGTGTGAGGAGAACGATGAGGACGGCCAAGGCCGTGTGACTGGTGTCCTGTGGGGGAAGCTGCGCGGCGGGGGACGCCGTGAACGCCGGGTATCTCGGGGACTGGCTCTGGTTCTGCGAGCGCCGCTGAAGTGGACTCGGAGCCGCTGGAACAATACATATACAGTATAATCACAGCATTAAGAACACATTACAGTAATAAGAATTTACTTTATGAGTGGAATAATTGCCATGAAACATTACAATGCAAACAAACAAACAAAAAATCTTAATGGTCCAAAAACAGACTTTACTGTCTTCTTGTGAAATATAATTTTGCATTTTGCATTTTTTGGGGTGAAATCAGACCATGGTTTGTTCTTGACAAGCGTACTGAGATTTGCCCCTCCAGGTTTTGTTCTGCGAATACATCCGGAAATCTTTTCCCCTTCTGAAGACACAAAGCTCTGTCCAGGAAGGACAAACATGAGACCGGGGGTGAGCTGGATCTGGACGAGGGCAGAACGACAGTGGTGCTTTTCAAGTGCTGTAGGAAGAGTTCACAGCTCGTAATCGAACTTATACTCATGGGCCAAATAGATCCTGCGGAAAATGAGCGCAGCTAGCGCGAGTGTGAGGAGAACGATGAGGACGGCCAAGGCCGTGTGACTGGTGTCCTGTGGGGGAAGCTGCGCGGCGGGGGACGCCGTGAACGCCGGGTATCTCGGGGACTGGCTCTGGTTCTGCGAGCGCCGCTGAAGTGGACTCGGAGCCGCTGGAATGGACGGACCCTCGCTTGATGTCTGAGGAGCCACAGATGATGATTCGGCCTAGACCAGAACAAAGAGACTGAAGCGGATTACATTACATTTTCACACTACAGCTCTGGAGTAGGAATGCACGATACTGTCGGACTGATATTGGAATTGGCCGATAATGGCTTTAAATGTAAATATCGGCATCGGCCCGATATGAAAAATTATGCCGATATGTCTTGCCGATAAGAGGAATGCGTTAACTCACATGTGCTCAGGGTGTGCTAGCGATTAGATCACGTCAGCAGAGTGGCTCATTCTTGAAGCACAGTTTTGTCTGAATGAGGATTAGATTCACTGTTTTGGATCGCTGCATTTAATCTGTGAAAGCAAGTACAGAATGACACATTCTGTGTTTTATTCCATGGTCTGTCTGAATACTGGATTCTGATTGGCTGGCAGGTATGCAGTAAAACCGTTTAATGCACAGGTAGTTCCAAGTCAGTTTAATCACCGTTCTATATTAATGCGCTGCTTTAATTGATGCACACTAACCAACACGCATCACTCGCACACACACACACACACAGAGAGAGAGAGAGGTCAGAGATCACTGATTGCGCTGCACACACACACAAACTTGTTGTCAACGCTTCCCTGTGATTTTCATTAATAAAATAACCTAGATACTAGATCGCTACATTATATTCCCCAGCAACGAGGTGCTAAAATCGCTGTTTTTGAAGTAATTGTTTGTACAGAGAGACACGCAGACGCAGCTACACACAACTGTAATCTCTCTCTCTCTCCATCTCTGTGTCTGATTTGAAGCAGGCAGAATGCTAGCGCTAATGTGCCATAACTGATGAAAATAACCGTCATTTTTACCCATTCGGTCAAATATTGCGCTGCAAAGAGCAATACTAGTTTTAACTTGTCTATAACTTGGCAAATGACCATGGAATAAGCGGGATAATCAACGGCTAGCCGTGCATTAAAGGATTTTAAATGCACTTCCCGTCGGGTGGTTCTTTGCCTCCACGTCGTGCATTTAAAATCCCACCGGCTAGCCGCTGATTATCCCTTACCTAACAAATAAGTTCTTGTTAAAAACTAACCAAAATTAAAAATATTTTGCTTATGATTTCTGCACAGGAGAGACTTGGTGTTGTTTCCAAACAAAAGGAAACATGTCGGTATCGGTCAAAATTAGTTGAAAAATATCGGCATATCGGATATCGGTAAAAATCCAGTATCGTGCATCCCTACTCTGGAGTCAATGAAAATCTACCAGTTTCATCATCGTAGTATTTCCCAACCTTCCCCGGCAGCAGAATGAACAGGAAATGATGCAAGCTAACACTGTGAGAGTGCATGAGTGTTTGTCCCACCTGCTCAGCGGATGCCGTGTCTTCTGCGTCTCTCTCTGCTGTAGCTGAGCTCTCACTGTTACTGGAAGCCGCTGCCACTGAACTGCCACTGTCTGCAGCCGATGAGCTGGATTCAGCCTGATGACCCAGATTTTTCACAATAAAGTCATGAGAATTGGGCGGTAAATGTGCTTAACCATCACAATGCAAAAAGTCTTAACGGACCTATACTGGCTTAAGGCAATAACATTACAGGTAATAACATCCTGCACTGGTCAGTTTTGAGATGTAGATGTTTATTTCACTGCACTTGATCTGTTTGCATCTGTAGACTTAAATTAAACATACATTGAAAGGCTATTTTTCTCCTGCATTGAGCTAGAAATCTCTACTTCAGCAGCACTTTGAAGGATCTGAGGATCCTCAGATGCAGCCTGTGTGTGTTTTGCTTCATTACGAGCAAATTACATCACAAACTCAATACTTGTTGAATTTGTGCTTGTCAGACGAAGTGTGAGCATTGAAACATACGCAACTAAGACTATAAAATAAACTCTGCTCCTTTTTATCATCACTTCGTCTCCTGCTTCTGCTCTTCACTGGCTTTTTCCTCAGTCAATCTCTTGGCTGATAGAAGACTGTTAATAGAGTTTTGGGTACTTCCTGTTAACGGGTTTTGGGTATTAGACTACTTTGCTGATGAGTTGTTCCGTTACCAGACAAAACTGATATTTTCTGACGGGATCTGGCATGGAGCCATGATCTAACAACTTGTATACACCCAACTTTATTCCTATCTACATTCTGGAGCTTTTACAGAGGGGTTTGTTCATATACTGTGTTTTTCTGTCAATATGGGGTGCTGTGTGTACATTAATGAGGAAAAAAAATTAACTTAAATGATTTTAGCAAATGGCTGCAATATAACAAAGAGTGAAAAATTTAAGGGGGTCTGAATACTTTCCGTACCCACTGTATATATATATATATTATATATATCATCGTGTTGAGATCATTTTAACCATGTTAATGCAAACAGCATACATTTTGCCAAACATTTTTTTTAATTGAAATTGTAATATTTCACCTTATAAATCTATTTTACACTAGACACTAAAAAAGAGTTACACCCAGGACCTTAAGGACAAAAATGAAAAATGTCCCCCATTGAAACCCATTAAAACTACAATATATAATCCCAGTTCCATTTTAGCATATGCATTCCTAGTTGATGTGTTTTCATAATATGCCTATGGAGCAAACGCTAAATTTTTTCCTGTTTTCTTCCTCTGCTGAAAAAAGGCCAAGTGAATTTAAATAACATAATCATAATTGTGTGGGTGCATTGGTATTAATATCTGTGTGTGGTTTGTATGTGTGTACTGAGAAATGTGTGTACATTTTTATTTTTTTTGCATGAAAAAATAATGCTACAAAAAAATTTATGTTGTTTCTAATCATTGACTGATGCTGGAAAAAAATAAGTCAGCAAAAAAAATATTAATGTATAATTCTATGATATTTTAAGTTTAGACACAAGGGTTAATGTAATCAATCAACAAAGGAAGTATGGTGATACATTTTTTTTTTTTTTACCCTATTTACCAGCGATGTCTTGCCTTAATGATCTTTATAAACATATATTTTTTGATGTTTTGGTCATAAATGAGTCTGACCTTGAAGTTGATCTGCTGTGCCAGTCTGTGTGCCTGAGGGTCAACAGGTCGTGGGTCACTGTCAGGAGAGAGCGCTAGCAGAGCGGAGCGCATACAGCTGCTGCATGCGTCACAGCAGAAATCCAGAGACCTGCGAAACAAACACACACACACACGCAGAAGAAAAACCTAAACAAACATCACTAGAAATGAAAGAGACCTCATCAGACTGCCTGTCACAACCCCTCACAAACTAATGACCGCCACATAGCAGACCGTTCACTGTATGTCTGCTCAACACACACAGACCAACCTCATGTACATGTCAGGACTAGATCTTCCTGCAATGGACCGGTCACATGTAATGCTTACTGTAATTGTCACATTGCGTCCTAAGCAGGAACAATGTAAAAACTGAAAGTGAAAATGCTGTGAGTTACAGCCCAATCACAGCCAGAACATATTTGATGTTTAACAAAACAGCTGTGTGAATCAGGCGCTACAACAAGTTGCTTGTACTTCTAGATGGCCTTGATTAGCTCGCAAGCAGATTTTACTTTAATGTGATTCTGTGGATTTTTCAACATTATTTGTGATAGTAATTAAATTTCTCACTTTTTTGGGAGATATCTGGATATGACTTGAACAGTCCAACACAACAGGTTAGCTAGCAGAAAAGACACTTACAATTCTTAACGTAAATCACATTTATAATCGATCTCTGCTGCGCTGGCAGAGCTGTGCTCCCTTGTCACTTCTCATTTCCAGCAGCAAATCAGTATATTAGAATGATTTCTGAAGGATCATGTGACACTGAAGACTGGAGTAATGATGCTGAAAATACAGCTGCGCATCACAGAAATAAATTACATTTTAAAATGTAATCACATAGAAAGCAGTTGTATTTTGGAAATAAATGCAGTCTTTGTAAGCATATAGAGACTCCTTTCAAATGCATTAAAAGATGTTTTTGACCAGTAATGTACATGAGAACGTAAAGATGGTGGCCAGCTGCTGGTTTGATGGCAGTGATGTATAAACATGAGTCTGAGAGATCTGTTGTCACTGAGTGTTTGTCATGTGTGATGGGGTGGACGTTTAATCAGCATGTGTTGATTGCAGATACGGCGCTCAGAACAACAATCTGTCACTCATCTCCTTCTGTCTTCAGATGTATTCTTGTCTTTTAGCTCGCATCACAGAAATTAATTTAATTTTAAAATGTAATCACATAGAAAGCAGTTGTATTTTTGGAAATAAATGCAGTCTTTGTAAGCATATAGAGACTCCTTTCAAATGCATTAAAAGATGTTTTTGACCAGTAATGTACATGAGAACGTAAAGATGGTGGCCAGCTGCTGGTTTGATGGCAGTGATGTATAAACATGAGTCTGAGAGATCTGTTGTCACTGAGTGTTTGTCATGTGTGATGGGGTGGACGTTTAATCAGCATGTGTTGATTGCAGATACGGCGCTCAGAACAACAATCTGTCACTCATCTCCTTCTGTCTTCAGATGTATTCTTGTCTTTTGAAAGGGCACAGCATGTCCACACATGCTAAAATGAGGCTTAAGCTGGATTTGATAATGACTTTTAAATCTCTAGGGCAGTTTGCGGTTGTTTCACTATAATGTGGCATCTAAACTCAAAACACCAAAGAGAAAAATCCTGTGCTGGTACATTCATTCATCCATCCATTCATTCTCCTAACTGCTTGCCCTATGTATCCTATCCCAGTGTCTTGGGCAGCATGCAGGAAAACACCCTGGACGGATGGACAGTCCATCACAGTGCTCTCTCACTCACACACACACAAGCACAGATGACAATACCATGCTACATTATATATTTACACCATGACAGGCTATAATTTGCCTTGAAATAGTTTGAAAGGTTGTTTTACTGTAAAGGTCACTGCACACTGAGATAAAAATTTTCGTATGCGTTTTTAGTTTTTTTCATATTCGTCATCCTTTCCTATCAAAATGCTTGCTACAGAGTACGGATGCGAAAACGCAGAAAATCGAACCTGGTCCGAATTTTTTTATGACGTACGAAAGTTTCGGAGGCAGTGTGTAAACGTGATTGACACAACGTGAGATCGTATTTAGTTTTTAATGTGCGAACATTTCGCACGAGAATTTCGGACTCGTCGTGCAAAGACCTTAAATATCAATTGAAGAGCTATTGTTAAATAAATTTAAAATAATAAAAAATGTTCAATGTCACTAAAATAGTAAAAACCTTCAGTAAAACAGTCCATGTAATCTACATTTTTCACTAAATGAGGATGACATTTATATCACTTATTTATATGCACCTATATAACAACAGATTGCAATAAATTGCTATGAGGCACAGGATGAACATCTTACTTTTTAGCGAGAGCTCTTCTCTCCTCAGGAGTGTAATCCAGAGATCCTATCGCTCCTTCGCCTTTAGTTGGCATGAATCCAATGATTGCTATCAAGGCTGTCCGAACTGACACAAAAAAAAACACAGAGCGAAACATACAGCTTCATGCTGAATAACAGAGGAAGCTACAGAATCAACACTGGATGCACTTTAAAACTCTGTATATAACTGTGTATGTGTGTGTCACACAGCAGCAAGTGGTTTCATTTCATGTTGAGAATATGTTTGGATCATATTACATTTGGCATTCAGGAAATGAAGACCATATTAATTCAACTGCATGGAGATACCCACTACTCCATGATGGCTGCCATGTCTCTGGATGGTGACCGGAAATGCTCAGACAGATCTTCTTCCCAACTTCAAACCGTCCATTGGGCTGGGGATGAGAGAACGTTTTGTATGAATTAAAAGAAAAACAGAAGGACAACAGAAAATGATTAGAAGAGGAAGTCAGCAGATGACAAGGACACCTATAAGCCATGACATTAAAACCATCACTCAGAACCTCTTCCCAAAAACACCACCTAATATAAGGATGTGCAGAACTACATACTGTCAAAATCAAGTCAGTGGTTTGCCTAAACCTAGGTTATTATCGTTAACAAAAATTTTCACTTCGTTTCCTCAATTAACTAAAATGAAAACAAAAGTTTGCAAAAGAACCAAAAACTGAACTGAATCTACAAATACGCTTTACAGTGCAAACAGAATTGCAAAGGAGAGTTTAGCTTTCATATTTTCGAATAAAGTTGGATTGAAAAGTTCTGTTTTTGACTGTTAGTGTGTTTGACATAAGTCAAAGTTGCTGAATAATTAATGTTCTGAGTGGCAGAAGCTGCAGTCATGTACTGGTAAAAGCAGATTTACAGCACATTTTATTGAAGGCAATTATAATATGTTGGTATTGAAATTTAAAAGGGGTCATGAACTGAGAAACTAAAATTCCCTGTTTTGACAGAAAAGAAGTCATTGCACTATAAAACATCCTGCAAGTTTCAGAACTCAAAACTTTCTTGTTAGTCTAAAAACAGCTTATATTGGAAGGCAGTCTGCCAAAACGACAGCTTGTGGAATATTCTACTCTATGATGTAATAGTGTGGATAAGCACCGCCTCCGCAGAAGAAGATCAACACCTGCTTCTACATCGCTGCCTGTTTAGCCCCGCCCACCGATTCTCCACCACCGCCCACTGATTCTACATCACTTCCTGTTTAGCCGCGCCCACCGATTCTCCATCGCTGCCTGTTTAGCCCCGCCCACCGATTTGCGCATGTAATGTTTACGAGAGAGGCGAACAAGCAGGTCTACGCAGAAACCAAGGCATAAAGATGCTCTGAAGACAACAAGACACTGTTCAGTGCCAAGCTGAGGAAAAACAGTGTTTACGTTGCCTTCCTTCTGATCGCAACATTAGGAAAGAGTGAATGAACTTTATTTTTAATGAAGATCCAGACCGCGTCAGTAAGAACTTGGTTCTTTGCTCATTTCATTTTACCGCGGATTCATTAAACACCACACAATTCGACACAGGATTTTCAAAAAGATTGAAACTAAAAGATGGGGTTCGTGGGTTCAATTCCCAGGGAACACACATACTGATAAAAAATGTATAGCCTGAATGCACTGTAAGTCGCTTTGGATAAAAGCGTCTGCTAAATGCATAAATTTAATTTAATTTAAATTTAAAAGATGATGCTGTGCGACTATATTGGATCCGACAGTAATGTCGCAACACAAGTGTGAGTAATTTTTATTACGTGATCACTATTGCTTTGTCTGTTAAACAGATAATTTGATATGAGTATTTATGCGTTTAACCTAAATCACAGCAGCGTTCATCTGTGAGGAATGTACGCTGTCAAACACACAACTATTAGCCAATCATAGCAGTGGGCGTTTACTTCCGAGTCTACAATCCCCCAAGCCTATTCAAACAGAGCCTTCAGATGAGGGGGTTAAAAACAGGACAGAAAATAAGCTATTACTTCTAAATTATGTTTTTTTGATGTAAAAAACTTGATAACATTATAAGTGGACCTCAGAAAACAGTACAAAATAATAATTAAAAAAAAGGCAGTTCATGACGACTTTAAATTTTGAGTGATGCAGTTTAAACAAAATAAATCCTACTTATACACCATAAAGCACACTAAAACAAGCCTGAAAAAAAAATCTAAATAATATAAGACGCTTGTACAAAAAGTTAGGGGCAAGTGCACCAGACCCTATGGCTTTTGGGGGGGGGTCACAAGAAAACATCTCGGTTACGTATGTTAACCCTTGTTCCCTAAAGGAGGGAACGGAGACTTCACGTCAGTGACCGACGAATTGGGGATCTCGTTTAGAGAGACCAATCCACTCTGAGTGTAAACTAAATGAGCCAATGGACATTGGAATGCGATGACTGCATCCAGCTGCCGCTGATTGCAGCGCAAGTATAACTAGGCAGCAGATGCAACATACTCAAGTTTTCGCTGAGGAGCCGAGCCGGTGACCCGGCCGCTCAGTGGTGGTACAGCAGCCGTGGCGACGGAACGTGACTTCTCCTTTCCCTCCTTCAGGGAACGAGGGTCACATAAGTAACCGAGACGTTGCCTTTCAGTCAGTCACTCCGAGTCACGTCGGTGACCGACTAATTGGGATCCCTACCAAAGCGCCATGGATGCTGCCCCTTCCAGTGTCTTGTGTGAGCCTCTTGTGCCCCTTTTTGGTGTAGGCCGGGGCTCGTAACAAGAAGGCTAGTCACTGTTGTCGTAGCACTACCCACTCAGTGAGATTGGATAACACCAGGAAAACGTACCCATTCTACTTGGAACCGGAACGTTGCAGAAGCCCCATCCTTCCCGAAGGAGGTTTCGGAAGCACTTACACATATGAACAACCATTTAGGAGCATATGGAAGATTAGAGGTGATTGTAACCCTCTTGGAAAATGGCAGAAAGTCTGCCGGGGAAACACGGGCTCTGAGGCTATACCGTGGACTTTACACATATGGGATCCACTTAGGTCTCTACATGTGGAACCCAGCACTCTACCTGTTCTCACGGATTCATAGAGTGAGGGCCTGGCGCCGGACATTCCGCCACGTCTGGCTGCCGAGGGGATGCAGGGGGTCACGGGGTCAGCAGCAATTGCAGCGACATAGACTTTAAGGGTGGAGGGAGACAGCCTTCGCTCCAACACCTGCTGCAAAACGGACAGTACGACTCTGATCGGGCATCTTCGGGGGTCTTCTCGGTGAGAAGAACACCACTCGACGAACAGGTTCCACTTCAAGGCATAAGCATGTCTCGTAGACGGTGCTCTCGCCGAAGTGTTAACTACCTCCTGGGGTAGGTCACCTAGAACCTCTGCTTCCATCCAGGGACCAGACATGAAGTTTCCAGAAGTCTGGACGCGGGTGCCTCAGGGTGCCCCGTCTCTGAGTCAGTAGAACCTTCCTCAGAGGAATCTGCCAGGGAAGGGCTGTCACGAGGAGCATTAGTTCTGGGAACCAGGTCCGAGAGGGCCAGTAAGGCGCCACAAGCAAGACCTGCTCCTCGTCCTCCCTGATCTTGCACAGCGTCTGTGCGAGAAGGCTCACTGGGGGGATCGCATACTTGTGCAGGCCCCACGGCCAGCTGTGTGCCACTGCGTCCGTGCCAAGTGTTCCCTCAGTCAGGGAGTAAAACAACTGGCAGAGGTCTCTGGAGAGGCAAACAGGTCTACCGGAGCGGCTCCGAAACGTCTCCAAATCAGCTGGACCGTCTGGGGATGGAGTCTCCATTCCCCGGGGAGAGCAGCTCGGGACAGCTCGTCGGCTGTACGGTTGAGCAGACCAGGAATGTGAATGGCACAAAGCAACCTCAGACGCTTCTGACTCCAGAGGAGGAGTTGCGACATGCAATGGGAGCGCAGACCACCTTGTCAGTTGATGTATGCAACGGTCGCAGTGTTGTCCGTGTGGACCAGCGTGTGCTTGCCTCATAAGCGCCCTCTGAGACATTTCAAGGCAAGACATACTGCTAACAACTCTAGGCAGTTGATGTGCCAGTGCAGTTGGGGGCCCGTCCAAACCCCCGACACTGCATGCCCATCGTACGTGGCCCCCCAGCCAGTGGTAGAGGCATCCGTGTAAACCACAGCATGCCTTGGAGACCTGATCCAGGGGCACTCCTGCACGGAGAAACGCAAGGTCTGACCACGGGGTGAAGGTTTGCCGGCAGGCCGGTGTGACTTGGACTCAGTGAGTGCCGCATTGCCACGCCCACCTCGGGACTCGGCCATAGAGCCAGTGTTGAAACGGTCTCATATGAAGCAGCCCCAGCAGCGTGACTGCCGCTGCAGCTGCCATATGCCCCAGGAGCTTTTGAAACCGTTTCAGTGGGACCCCCATCCTGCTCTTGAACATATTCAGGCAGTTGAACACCAACTGAGCACGCTCCTGCGTGAGGCGTGCTATCTGGTCGGACGAATCCAACTCCATACCAAGAAAAGAGATCCTCTGCGTTGGGGAGAGTTTGCTCTTTGACCCAAAGGCCCAACCGGTTGAGGTGCGAGAGCACCAAGTCCCTGTGTTCGCACAACTGATCCTGAGACTGAGCTAGTATGAGCCAGTCATTGAGGTAGTTGAGAATTCGAATGCCCTGCTCTCTCAGGGGAACAAAGGCTGCCTCCACAACTTTAATGAAGACACGGGGCGACAGGGACAGCCCGAAGGGCAGGACCTTGTACTGATATGCTTGTCCTTCGAACGTGAACCGCAGGAATGGCCTGTGGCGCGAAGGATCGAAAAATAAAAGTACGTGTCCTTTAGGTCGATCACTGCAAACCAATCTCAGGGACGGATGCACCCGAAGATGCGCTTTTGCGTGAACATCTTGAACGTTAGCTTGTGAAGGGCCCGGTTCAAAACACGCAGATCCAAGATTGGTCGTAATCCACCGCCTTTCTTGGGTACAATGAAGTAAGAGCTGTAAAACCCCGTCTTCATATCAACCGCTCTTTTATTGAGATTTTTGGAAACAAAAGATTCTCCACCGGCCCTCCTCCGGGGGAGGGAGAGGTGCGTTCACCATCTCCTGAAGAGCAGTTCCCTCTCTCACTGGGTCACCCGTCCCGGGGCTTCTTGTTCTTCCGCTCACTGCCAGGTTTGACGGGGGTCTGGACAGGCGGGGTGGCCTGCCCAACTCCACGGTGCTGCTTGGCTGGAGGCAGCTGCGGATGCGGCGCGTGAGTGGGGGCGGAAGGAGGGGGCTTCCCTCGGTGATGAGCAGGCTGGGGCGCTGCGGCCGGCGGACGGGTGGAGGCAGCAGCTGCCCACCGGGGCAGGATGTGTCAGATCGCCTCAGTCTGCTCCTGTGCAGCCTAGAACTGCTGGTAGAGGTGGGCGATATAAGCTAAAATTCATATCACGATATTTTACACTGTCCAGGCGATATCGATATTATATTGCGATATGAGAAAAAAAAATTACAGGCAAAATATTTTAACCTTATATAACTAGAAAAAGTGAGGGATTGGACAGACCTGAAAAGACTTTTTTATTGTGCTATTGTTTTTCTCAAAAAGTGCAAACGTGCAACATGAGGTAGGCCTGTATGAATTAAATTAAATTAAATATTGTGTGTTTGAGTAGGCCAGTGGTTCCCAAACTTTTTCTGCCAGGCCCCCGTTTTGTAATGAAAAATATTTTCAAGGCCCTTTTTTTTGGAAAGTCTCTTATGCTGACCAAGGCTACATTTATTTATTAAAAAATATAGTAAACACTGTAATATTGTCAATTTAAATGATCTATTTGAATGTTTTAACATATAGGCTACTGTATTCCTGTGATCAAAGCTGAATTTTCAGCATCATTACTCCAGTCTTCAGTGTCACAATTGTTCTTTGTGTCAGAGCGCTGGAGTTCGTCAGAAATCGAACGGGGCATCAGTTTACTGTCATAGATTTGTCGCGCCGCATCCACAGCAGAGAACATCACTGGGTTCTATTTGCTTTTGTCAAATCGCGCCGCTCACATCTTGTGTAGACACGTTGTTTTGGTATTTGTGAATCTTAAAGGGTTAGTTCACCCAAAAATGAAAATTAGGCCATAAATTACTCACCCTCAAGGCATCCTAGGTGTATATGACTTTCTTCTTTCAGACGAATGCAGTCAGAGTTATATTAAAAATTGTCTTTGATCTTTCAAGCTGTTTAATGGCACTCAGCGGGTGTTGCAGTGCTTCAGTCCAAAAGAAGTGAAATAAAAAGCGCCCATCCATAATAAAAAGTGTCTCACACGGCTCCGGGGGGTGAACAAAGGCCTCCTGTAGCGAATCGATGCGTTTTTGTAAGAAAAATATCCATATTCAAAACGTAATAATCACTTTAATCTAGCTTGCGCCAACAGTTGTACACGGAAGCAGTTCCGGG